CTGTTGAAAGTCAAGTTCTAGTAATAAGAATAGAAGAGAGAACAACAGACTGTTAACGTCACATATGAACAGTTCTTCAGATAAACTATGACATAAACAACAGAACAGAACAAGTTTAACAAACTCTCCATCTCACTCCAAATCAATAAATCCATTCAGTTCTTCATCCTCGGTGTCACTTCTGAGCAACTCCACTCTGTCGTCAGACTCAGCATCAGTTCCAGTTAGAATTATTCGGGTCTTTCTGAATCCCGACAGGATGGTTTCGGTGTCACTGAAGTCCAGGCTTTGTCCATCCAGTGACTTCAGGAAAGTTTCATGGTGCATCCTCCCGCTGTCACAAGTTTCTCTCTCACTCCAAACTTTCTTTCTTTCTGCTCGATTACCGTTTCGGGCTGAATATTTCGCTACTTGCAGCAGGACAGAGGCTCTTTCTGCAGGAGACATGCGCAGTAGAGTGAAGTGACAGTGGTGCAGGAGGAACAGGAGCGGCAGATACTCACACACGAGACTTCAGCGCCCTCTTGTGGCCGTCAGTGTGAAAATTTAAATATATGAGTCGCAGGAAACATCCAAACCATGAAAAAAAGTGTGACTTATAATCCAAAAAATACGGTAGAAACTTGTGATGAATAATTGAAGTAAGGGTTAGATGTAAGTGAGGGAAAAGTTTGGATTAAGTTTTTTTAAAGGTGCAGCACCATTAACGGTCTCGCAATGTGGAAATTTCCGTGTTGCAGTGCAAAGTACTGTACGCCCCGCTCTCTCCTCAGGTACTACAGTTTCTCCTTGGTCCTGGGTTTGGGCTCAGACTCTTGGGTTTATCCAAACGCCTCTGACCCCGAGTTCACGTCTCTGACCCGGAAGTACATCTACTGCCTGTACTGGTCCACGCTGACGCTCACCACCATCGGGGAAACACCGCCCCCTGTCAGGGACGAGGAGTACCTGTTCCTCATATTCGACTTTCTGGTGGGTCATGTATTTGATTTGTTGCGTTACAGAATTTCTCAAAGGCCCGTTCAGACCGGTGACAGGTCAGTGCGGACGCGGGTCTAGGCCGTCCTGCGTTTTGGCGGCGCGTCTTCAGGCGTCAGTGCGGTGCGAATCCAGAAGCTGAAAATGCTGTAGGACGCGCCGCACCGACCAATCAGGGACGACGATATTACCTAGAAGAAGAAGAAGAAGAAAAAGAAAGGACTAAACCAGGTCTGAACCAGGACTAAACCAGGACTAAACAAGGGCTAAACCAGGACTGAACCAGGACTAAACCAGGACTAAACCAGGACTAAACCAGGACTGAACCAGGTCTAAACAGGTCTGAACCAGGACTAAACCAGGACTGACCAGGACTAAACAGGACTGAACTGGACTGGACCAGACTGAACCAGGTCTAATCTAGGTCTAAACCAGGACTGAAACCAGGTCTAAACCAGGACTGAACCAGGTCTAAACCAGGTCTAAACCAGGGACTGAACCAGGACTAAACCAGGGACTGAACCAGGACTAAACCAGGGTCTAAATCAGGTCTAAAACCAGGACTGAACCAGGTCTAAACCAGGACTAAACCTAAACCAGGACTGAACCAGGACTAAACCAGGACTAAACCAGGACTGAACCAGGACTAAACCAGGGACTGAACCAGGACTAAACCAGGTCTAAACCAGGACTAAACCAGGACTAAACCAGGTCTAAACCAGGTCTAAACAGACTGAACCAGGACTGAACCAGGACTAAACCAGGACTGAACCAGGACTAAACCAGGACTAAACCAGGGACTGAAACCAGGACTAAACCAGGACTGAACCAGGACTAACCAGGACTAAACCAGGACTGGACCAGGTCTAAACCAGGACTAAAGCAGGACTAAAAGCAGGCCTAAACCAGGTCTAATCTAGGTCTAAACCAGGACTGAACCAGGACAGGCTAAACCAGGTCTAAAACAGGACTAAGGACTACCAGGCTAACCAGGACTAAACCAGGACTGACTAACCAGGACTGAACAGGACTGGACTAAACCAGGACTAAACCAGGGACTGAACCAGGACTAAACCAGGTCTAACCAGGAACCAGGTCTGAACCAGGTCTAAACCAGGACTAAACCAGGACTGGAACTAACTGACCAGACTGAACCAGGTCTAAACCAGGACTGAACCAGGACTAAACCAGGGACTGAACCAGGACTAAACCAGGACAGGACTAAACCAGGAATGAACCAGGACTGAACCAGGACTAAACCAGGGACTGAACCAGGACTAAACCAGGGACTGAACCAGGACTAAACCAGGTCTAATCTAGGTCTAAACCAGGACTGAACCAGGTCTAAACCAGGACTAAAGCAGGACTAAAGCAGGCCTAAACAGGCAGGACTGAACCGGGACTAAACCAGGTCTAAACCAGGACTAAACCACTCTGGACTGGAACTGGACCAGTACTGAACCAGGCCTAAACCAGGACTGAACCAGGACTGAACCAGGACTGAACCAGGACTAAACCAGGGACTGAACCAGGACTAAACCAGGACTACCAGGACTAAACCAGGACTGAACCAGGACTAAATCAGGACTAAACCAGGAGTGGACTGGAACTGGACCAGTACTGAACCAGGTCTAAACCAGGACTGACCCAGGACTAAACCAGGACTGAACCAGGACTAAACCAGGACTAAACCAGGACTAAACCAGGACTGAACCAGGACTGAACAGGTCTAACCAGGTCTAAACCAGGACTAAAAGCAGGACTAAACCAGGACTAAACCAACCAGGTCTAAACCAGGACTAAAGCAGGACTAAACCAGGTCTAAACCAGGACTAAACCAGGACTAAACCAGGTCTGAACCAGGACTGAACTAGGACTGAACCAGTGTCATTAGCAGAGTACAAATATAAACACGCACGCCGCAGCCGTTGAGTCGATCTCCTCCGCTGATGGTTTTATGTCATAAAATCCCTACCGTCTCTCTCAGGTGTGAGCTCGGATCGTGATATTGGCCCTGGAGTGCGGGTCGGGACACAGGAGACGGATGGTAAAATTTAGGAGGTTTAATGAAGCTCAGGCATCATCATAGAACATTATTGGTTCTGTGGTCTATAAAGAAAAAGAAAAAATTTAATAAGTCGTTGTACTACACAGTGATAAAGTAAAGAGTGCACTGCTAAACATACAATAACAAACATAAATAGTGGAGAGACGAAATAAGAAGCGCAGAATAAAGACATAATACAACTATAATGAACAAACACGGCACGACACACGAAAAATAGCTCCCTGTTAAACTGAACTACACAAGTATGACAGGAACATGAACAACACGTCCTGACATGAGTAAAACAATAGGCGAGCTTCATTGTTGACAAAAGCGCGCGTTGCATGCTGGGAATTATTTTGGTCGGTGGCAAGAAACACTAATTCAACATGACGGACGGAGCGAGAAAGCACGTAAAGGGTATTGATCCCGGTTATTTATCCACTCTAACGGCAGAGGACCCAAGACCATTTGACCAGAAATTGGTCATAAGCATCGACGGACGACAAATCACCCTTTTCAACCCCGACAAAAGGTGAAACAAACCAAATTTCTGGTCTGAATCGCCAACTACCTGGACAAATATTCACAATGACTTGGTGGAAACTCCTGGGCCATTCACAGCAGAAAAGATGAAAACCTCCAAGAGTCTCGATGTGTTGTTGAACTTGTTGGAGTCCACGGTTTGTTAGGATCTTCTACGTTTGCTCTGCGGATGTTTGAAAGCCGTTTAATTCACCGTTAGCGGTTCTTTTCACTCAGAATACGAAAAAGACATTTTCCTTCTTCCGTGCTTCTATTTGTGCATCCGATAATGCAGCAGGAATTTACCATTATCGGGGATAAATACGCGAGGTTACGCACTGTGTTTGACGCTACCGTGTTTCTTGCCTCCGACCAAAATATTTCCCAGCAGCAACGCGGGCTTTTAATAACAATGACGTCAGCTGAAACTCACCTATAACAAAGGACTTATGCAATAGCCCGGATAGCAACCTTAGCGGTAGAAGAGGAGTTGAACAGGTTTGTAGTGCAGATCCCAAGTGCATTTGCTGTAATCCATAACCAAGACAAAAAAAAAAAAAATAGAAAAAATATTTACAAAAGTAGAAAAGTTGAAAACACAGGGATGACAGTAACCTGCGCTCACACAGCACCTTCCTCTAGACCACGAGTGTCAGACTCATTTTGTTCCGGGGGCCGTATCCAACCGACTTTAATCTCAAAGTGTCCGGATCAGAAAACTCATGTCATATAAACCCCAAAAATAACAATAAGTTCAAATATTTGTGCAGAGAAACACAAATCTATTACAGAAATCTTTTTTAATTGATGAACTCTTTCTTTTACAAAATATTATAATATTATGAACAACCTGAAACTTTAAGAAAAATTCAATTTCAACACAAAGTTTTAACATGAACTTGTATGTAAACAGGAATAAGTCCATTTTTGTTGTAAAATCCTGCACTCGGCTCCACTTTTCTCATGTTGGACATTTTTCTGATGAGGGTGTCACGGTCAACAGTCAAAACGATCGTCCTTTAAGAGCGTTTGGAAAGAGACAAGTCTTCATTTGTGCTGCTCTGGTGGGAGGGGCCACGTACAGAGACGCTGGAGACGCTGCTGTGATAAACACCACAGAAAATTAACAATATTTTAATAGAAAATGCAATTAAAATATTTTAGTAGAAAATCATCTGAGATTAAAGGTCTTGGAGGGCCGTATGTTTGACACCCCTGCACTCGACAAAGGTGAGGCTGACTCCTTTTATGGGCCTCCTCCTCTAACTGGGTGAGCTGAGGTACGTTCAACAATGTACATTCAATATTTAAAAAGTTTGCTATCAAAAAACAGTGCAACAAATATTCTGTTAAACCCAAATACAAAAATAACTCTCTTTATTAAATCAGAAGTTTATTCATTTAAAAATACTAACTAGACTAGAAAAGTTAAAATCTCTGTGTGTCCCTCCTCCCCAACAAAATGGTTTCCTGCCTTGGAACCTTCTTAAAGGGCCCATCTCATGCAAAAATCAACTTTTCAGAGCTTTCTACCTTCTAAGAGTGATGTGTGGGCCTTGTATTTGTTGCCCAAGTGTTTTTTTTAGATTGATTCAGTGTTTTTTTAAGTAAATTGCAGCGTATTTCTGCCACCCTCCCACATGACAACGAACTAAAACTGCTACAACGATGACGCGGCAGATTCACCTATGACACGTTTGACGTAGAAGAAAGAGCTTCGCACCCACCCCCCACCTGCCCCCCTCCTCCGCTCCACCGCCTCCACCCCACATCGGCTGACAATTCCCACATGAACACTTGAACAAAAGCAACAGTATAAGCTCATTGTTCTACGCTGCAATGGACACGATATAATAAGTTTATCTACTAGTGTTTATTAATACTTTACCAATCAGTAATGTTCAGCTGATGTGGACGCGATGCTTGAGCGTCGTGCTCCTCAAAGTCCTCGTCCGATTCCGGGTCCAACACATGCGGCTGAAAGCGCTGTATCTCCATGATGAATAAAAGATGAGGACAGGTCAGTTTGTCGACTGGACAAAAGTTGGTTTAGTTGAAGACGTTTCTCAGCTCATCCAAGCTGCTTCTTCAGTTCTGGTCAGACGCTGGTGGACACTTCCTTCTATCTGTCTGCAGGGAGGAGCTAACTACACTGAAACTACTCTGAAACTAACACACCTACTTGTTTACAGTTTCTGTTTATTAGTTCGGCCTATTGACCTGTACAGGGTGTGGGGTCTAATTAGCAGAACAATTCATGTCCATAATGGAGCTTCCACACCTCTGGACCTGACCTGGCTACACCTGTTGTTCTTTTGTTTGTTTTGATTTAGGTTTGAGGACGGAGTTGTAAATAGGAGATAGATGGTGTCTGAGTCTCCATTTCTGTTTAGAGAAGGATTCTCTTTCTTAATAAAATGGCTTCTTTAACTCCCCTCTCAAACCAATTTTTCTCTCTGGCTAAAATCTGCACCTCTCTGTCCTTTTAAGTGGAGATGTACAGAAGACTGAGGTCCACTGTTGCTCTCTCGTCTATGTTGTTCATCCTCTTGTGAAGTAGCTGTTTAGACAGCATTCTGACCAGAACTGAAGAAGCAGCGTGGATGAGCTGCGAAACGTCTTCAACCAAACTAACTTTTGTCCAGTCGACAAACTGAATTTTCTCCTCATGGATTCTACCTGGACGACTGAGGGATTCTTCACATGATGAATAAAAGTTTATTCCTGCCACTATCAGGGCGCACGCCTGTCTCCCCCTCCCTCCCTGAGACGGCGGAGGAAGGGCGGCTCACTCAGAGTCTACGTCACGTTTGGAGGGCGGAGCCTGTGCTTTCTCAGGACGGGTGGGGGGAGGAGCAATAGTCGGACTTTCATAGTTCCTGGTCTGTGACTGTCTCCAAGAAATCAGTAAGATTTCAGATTGTGTAATGGATGTTCCAAAACCCAAATTGTGCTTGTTTATGTGTGAGGTCAAGTGGTAACGGAGGGAAACGGGGTCAGATTTTTTACATTCAAATGTCTCTTATTCAGAAACTAGAGGGACTATTGAAATAAGTAAAGTATCAGAATGTAGGAAAGAGTTACACTCCAACAGGGTCAAGTTAAACCTGTGATATTTTTTCAAGTTTTTGACAAAAAATTTAAAAAACTCATGTCGGTAACGGAGGGAATGAAATATGCAGCACTTTTTGGTCAATAAATCCAAACAGTGATAACTCTTGGTTCTCACTTACATATCCTTAACAAACTGGTTTGAATATTTGCTTCATATAGTTTTCTACCATATGGTACAAGATTAGGTTGAAAAACCTCTTACTTTTTGAATAATGAGATTTTTTATTAAGAAAGGTCATGGTAACGGAGGGAAAAGTAACGGAGGGAAAATTGTTCAAGCAAGTAGAAGGTGCAGGATTTTACATCATTTGTCACTTTTTTCTTCTGAATATTTTAATATTACTTCAAAATGAAAGGAAACTATTTCTATAAAATATGTCAGTCCTTCCAAGCAAATTTTTATCATTTTAAATAATTTTTTTTTTTTTTTAAATCATGTCCCTTCATCAACAGTTCAAAGATGGAATAACACAAGATATGATGAAATACATCCATTTATTTACATGATTTGCAGGTCTTTGAAATTTGGGAAATAATTTTTGTTCCATGTTTCATACATGGTCTGTTTAAAACGGATGGAACTTTAGAACCAAAAATCGTACAGAAAAAGGGTCAACAGTTTCATAAACTAGAGTACATATGTATCTGTTCAATACATTTTTATATCAGATGCATTAACTTGAATTTTTGGCCCTGTTGTTTACTTCTGCTTGACCGGGCCCATGTGCAGAAGATACAATGTGAAAAGAGTTATTTTGCATGAGATGGGCACTTTAAGGTGCTTCGGCTCCTCTGGGACTCTTTTGGCAGACAGGACAAGAGGGTAAGTACGACTAGTTTTAACAACAAGTACTGAAATTTAAATGCACTTATTTAACTTATTTCATTTTCTTTTACAGGTCTCTTTACCACACAGTAGTAATCGTCCAGCAAACTCTGTTATCGTTTCAGGCCTCGTCAGACTAACGTTCCGGTGACTGTGAGACTGTCCGGTCATGTTTTGCAGGTCGGGGTCCTGATCTTCGCCTCCATCGTGGGGAACGTGGGCTCGATGATCTCGAACATGAACGCCACCAAGGCCTCGTTCCAGAGCCGAGTGGACGCTCTCAAGCACTACATGCACTTCAGGCACGTGAGCAGAGGCCTGGAGCAGCGCGTGATTCGCTGGTTCGACTACCTCTGGACCAATCAGAAGACGATAGATGAACAGGAAGTGCTCCGGAGCCTGCCCTGTAAACTCAGAGCGGAGATCGCCATCAACGTGCACCTGGACACGCTCAAGAAGGTCACAGGGTTTATTACACGGAGTTACACCGAATTACTCATGTTTCACTGTTGTTAATTTATATAAAAGTGGAATTATATACTTTTTATCTATAATTTTTTCTTTTTTGTTTTGTTTTGTTTTTGTTTTGTATGTTGTGGACATGTTCAAGAAGTGTTTTACATAGATTTACTTCTGCTTCTTTAGTTTAGTCCTGGTTTCAGTCCTGGTTTAAGTCCTGGTTTACCTGGTTTAGTTTAGTCCTGGTTTAGTCCTGGTTTAGTTTAGTTTAGTCCTGGTTTAGTCCTGGTTTAGTCCTGGTTTAGTTTAGTTTACCCTGGTTTAGTCCTGGTTTAGTCCTGGTATAGCCCTGGTTTAGTCCTGGTATACTGGTTTAGTCCTGGTTTAGTCCTGGTATAGTCCTGGTTTATCCCTGGTTTAGTCCTGGTATAGCCCTGGTTTAGTCCTGGTTTAGTCCTGGTTTATCCCTGATTTAGTCCTGGTTTAGTCTTGGTTTAGTCCTGGTTCAGTCCATTTGATTTAACTTTCTGAATGAAGTTGTTCATGAAAAGTTTGCGTCCTTTTGCAGGTTCGTATCTTCCAGGACTGTGAGTCTGGTCTCTTGGTGGAGTTGGTGCTAAAACTTCGACCTCAGGTGTTCAGTCCTGGAGATTACATCTGCAGAAAGGTGAGTGGAGTTTGCATGTTCTCCCTTTGTCTGGGTGGGTTTCCTCCTGGTTTCCCCCATCAACCCCAAACATGCACAGTATTCAGTGATCCTACAGCGAGGTACTCCTGATCAAAACTGTGAATTAACAGTTTTGTTTTTATGATCCATGTTATAATGTTGTTTCCTCATCAAAAACAAACTTGGACTTGTCCCATCCATCCATTTTCTTCTGCTTATCCGGGGCCGGGTCGCAGGGGCAGCAGTCTAAGCAGGGACTCCCAGACACGTCCTCTAGCTCCTCTGCGGGACCCTGAGGTGTTCCCAGGCCAGCCCAGAGAAATAGTCCTTCCAGCGTGTCCTGGGTCTTCCCCGGGGCCTCCTCCCAGTGGGACATGCCGGAACACCTCCCGAGGGCATGTCCCAGGAGGCATCAGAACAGACGCCCGAGCCTCAGCTGCTCCTCTCGACATGGAGGAGCAGCGGCTCTACTCCGAGCTCCTCCCGTGTGACTGAGCTCCTCACTCTATCTCTAAGGGAGCGCCCAGACACCCTGCGGAGGAAACTCATTTCGGCTGCTTGTATCTGCGATCTCGTCCTTTCGGTCACTACCCAGAGCTCATGACCAGAGGTGAGGGGAGGAACGAAGACTGACAGCTTCTCTTCACCACAACTGTCCGATACAGCGACCACATCACTGCAGACTCTGCACCGATCCACCTGTCAATCTCACGCTCCATCGTCCCCTGACTTATGAACAAGACCCCGAGATACTTGAACTCCTCCACATGAGGCAGGGACTCTCCACCCACCCGGAGACGACAAGACGCCTTTTTCCGGTCGAGAACCGCGACCTCAGACTTGGAGGAGCTGATCCTCCATCCCAGCCGCTTCACACTCAAACCTGGAGTTGTGTTTTGTTTCATTCACACACGTTTAACATGAGTTCTTCTCCCAAACAAAACACCACTTTGATCCACCTTGTGATCTCATGTGGTAATAGAGGAAGTGCTCCACTGTGTTTTTAAAATCCACACACCTCATACCAACACAGACCAGAAGCATTTGGATCATTACAGTCCTGTGAAAGGTGTTCACTTGAAAACTACCACTTCACGACATCAGAGGGTGCAACCGAGCATTTTGAGCTTGGGAGGTGTAGACTGGTCTCAGGTAGGGATGGTCATGATTAGTCGATTAATCAATGAGTGCGTATACATGCACATCAATAACCCGGTTATTAGCCATATCCCGGTTCTGTCAGTATTCGGGTTACTGCGTTTACATGCGCACTGAGAAACCGGGACACTCATATCCGCGTATACATGATCAAATGGAGTATCCCGGTTTCTTGACATAATCTTACAAATGCGCAGGCGCAAAAATTAACTTAAATCGATTTAATAAACCAGGAAAAATACAAACCGTGAGCTCCTTTAGCATAAGAAGCTAAGGAGCTACGAGATCTCCCACAATCCACTGTGCAGATTCTTCATTAAAATCTTCTGCATAAATAAACTCAACTTTACAACATATACAGTAAACCATAAACACTATAGACACATCAGCCCGTTTGATCAGATAATTCAGCTGTGATCACATTTGTTTACGTTTTACAGAAACGAAACTTAAGACCGTTTGGCTAATTAGCATAAACTGTTAGCGGCGATAAAAACAACTCGCTGCTTGCGCCGCTGATGCGATCAGTTTCTTTTGGACTAAATGACACGACTCTGTGGATTATGTGTGTTATTTCTGTGACAGAAGAGGCGCTAATGATGGTAAGTGTGTTTCGTGCGTATATAGAGTATAGGAGATAGTTCATGTTTTAGCTTTTCAGCGTCACACGAGTGCAGGTCGTACGAGTGCAGATTGTACATGTGCAGGTTTAGCGCAGCTCTTTATTTTACAGTCATTTCACTCGTTTGGCTCACTTTATTTATGTTGGTCAATTTATTTATGTCACTACTGTTGTGGTGAAAGGCTGGAAAGTGTCTTTTTGGACGCATGCGCACTCAACTTTATGTTGCAGTAACCGGGGTACTGCGTTTACATGCACCATCAAGAAACCGGGATACTCAAAAAACCCGATCATAACCGGGTTATTGATGTGCATGTATACGCACTCAATAATTGATCATTAAGAATTTCGTTGATTACGTTCATTTTTAATCGACAAACTGAATGTAGGTTGCCGTGCGTAGCGTAGCGTGACCAAATGTCCATTTTTCTCCGGACATGTCCGTTTTCCACATCTTGTCCTCGCCGTCCTGTTATTTTTTTTAATAAAGTGATGCAAATGATCAGGTTTTCATTATCTTTCATTGGGCCATTAAACTGAGCGTCTCTTGTAGATCTCTGTGAGTCAGAAGGAGCGAGCAGACACAGACAGTCGGTCAGTCTGCAACACGCCGAAGCACAAATGTGCATTTAACAATGACTTGTACAAGAAATTCCACACTTTCCGTCCTAGTCGAGACAAATGTGAGTCCATGTGCACAGTGTTCAAAGCAGCACATATGTTTCTGTGTCCAGTGGCGTGTCAGGGACCTCAAAGCACCAAAACACTGAAAAACATGAAAAAGTTTTACCAGGTGAGAGTCGCTCAATGTCGATGACGAATCCCCACCTCCCTCCCCCCGTACGGTGTCCTGGTTTTAACAAACGCAAATCTGGTCACACTAACCTGTATTCACCTGAGTCATGTCTTTTAATCCGACAGAAATTGAACAGCATCAGCGACACAAGAGCTGTTTTTTTCTTCACTTATTTTATGCAAATGAGCGATGCGGTTTTAACTTTTGTTTCTGTGAGAGTTGAACAAAACTGAATTAAACACATTGATAATGTCAAACGGGCTGATGTGGCTCTAGAGTCGTTACGGTTTATATGCCGTAAAGTTGAATTTATTTATGCAGATTAGTAGTGCAGATAGTAATAATAATGATGATCATTTTAATATAAAAACATTAATGATTAATCTATAATCGATCGTTAATTCTCCCGACGATCGATTAATGAAATTTCATCGAATGCCCATCCCTAGTCTCAGGTCTCTGCACTGCCCCCTGTGGCTCGGAGACTTTAAAGCGGCTCTGCTTGTTCAAGTCTCTCCATGACCCAACACCAAAGTCCACCTGTGACATGTTAGAGCCACATGAACCATCTCGCACTCTGAGGAGCTCAAGGACCGGCCTCCTGCTGTAGTCCTGGTTTAGTTCTAGTTTAGACCTGACCTCCTGCTGGTGCCCAGAGTCAGGAACAGTCTTCCTGAACATGTGAGACCGGCCTCGACTTTGACTCCGTTTAAATCCAGACTCCAAACACTTCTGTTCAGCTGCGTCTGACTGAAAGGTTTTCACTCCACACTCTTCTCTCTCATTTAATGTCGCTCTCTTTTTAAAATTTTATGATGATTATTTATGATTTGATTTGTTTCTATTGTGATTTTAATGTTTTTGTTATTCTGTAAAGCACTTTGAATTACTTTGTGCTTTACAAATAAACTTGTCTTGCCTGGACGGATTAAAAACACAAGATTACGAAAACATGGGAATAAATTAAAATATCTGTAAATCTGTGTCGCCGTTACCAGGGAGACGTGGGGAAGGAGATGTACATAATCAAAGACGGCCGCCTGGCTGTTGTTGGGGACGACGGCGTGTCTCAGTTCGCCGTTCTGACCGCGGGCAGCTGCTTCGGCGAGATCAGCATCTTGAACATCAGCGGGAGCAAGACGGGAAACCGCCGCACCGCCAACATCCGCAGCCTGGGCTACTCCGACCTGTTCTGCCTGTCCAAAAACGACCTGATGGGGGCGCTGCAGGACTTCCCCGAGGCCAGAGCGCAGCTGGAGCAGAGGGGGCGGGACATCCTGAAGAAGGAGGGGCTTCTGGAGGAAGTGAGCGTCTCCGCGGGGGAGGAGCTAGAGGAGAAGGTGGAGAGGATGGAGGCGGGACTGGACCGGATACAGGTGAGAGCATTAGACCCGGTTTAGACCCGGTTTAGACCCGGTTTAGACCTGATATAGACCTAGTTTAGACCTGGTCTAGTCATGGTTCAGTCCTTGTCTAGTCCTGGTCTAGTCCTGGTTCAGTCCTGGTTTAGTCATGTTTTAGTCCTGCTCTAGTCCTGGTCTAGTCCTGGTCTAATCCTGGTTCAGTCCTGGTCTAGTCCAGGTCTAGTTCTTGTTTAGTTCTGGTTCAGTCTAGTCCTGGTTCAATCCTGATTTAGTCCTAGTTCAGTCCTGGTTTAGTCGTGTTTTAGTCCTGGTTTAGTCCTGGTCTAGTCCTGCTCTAGTCCTGGTTCAGTCCTAGTCTAGTCCTGGTTCAGTCCTGGTCAAGTCCTGGTTCAGTCCTGGTTTAGTCATGTTTTAGTCCTGCTCTAGTGCTGGTCTAGTCCTGGTCTAGTCCTGGTCTAATCCTGGTTCAGTCCTGGTAGTTCAGTCCTGGTTTAGTCCTGGTTTAGTCATGTTTTAGTCCTGCTCTAGTCCTGCTCTAGTCCTGGTCTAGTCCTGGTCTAGTCCTGGTCTAGTTCTTGTTTAGTCCTGGTTCAGTCATAGTTCAGTCCTGGTTTAGTCGTGTTTTAGTCCTGGTCTAGTCCTGGTCTAGTCCTGGTCTAGTCCTGGTCTAGTTCTGGTCTAGTCCTGGTCTAGTTCTTGTTTAGTTCTGGTTCAGTCCTAGTTCAGTCCTGGTTTAGTCGTGTTTTAGTCCTGGTTTAGTCCTGGTTTAGTCCTGGTCTAGTCCTGGTCTAGTCCTGGTCTAGTCCTGGTTTAGTCCTAGTTCAGTCCTGGTTTAGTCGTGTTTTAGTCGTGTTTTAGTCCTGGTTTAGTCCTGGTTCAGTCCTGGTTTAGTCCTGGTCTAGTCCTGGTCTAGTCCTGGTTTAGTCGTCTTGTTTAGTCCTGGTTTAGTCCTGGTCTAGTCCTGGTCTAGTCCTAGTCCTGGTCTAGTCCTGGTCTAGTCCTGGTCTAGTCCTGGTTTCTCTTGTGTATTTTCAGACCTGTTTGGCGCGTCTTCAGAGTGAGTTTGCCTCGTCTCAGATGCGTCTGAAGCAGCGGCTCACGGCTCTGGAGGCCGGACTGACCGCGGCAGCGACCGGCAGTGACCTCTCCGACCCCGAGGGCAGCGACACCAACATGCAGCTGTGAACCGCCCCTGATGCCCTCCCTCCCCGTGCGCCAGATGCCCTCCCGTCCTCCTCCACTGCAAATTTCTCTGATCTGACCAAGATTTTAAAAACCTTTATTTGGTTTTTCACCTTGTTTCCAGATTTATCCTCTTCTTACTCGTTCTGAGGTCGTTTACGTTCAGATAACTTGTCAAGTAAAATGATCTTGCTGCATGGACAGATCATTTCACTACTTTAAAGTCATTTAAAGTGTTTTTTATTTATTTTTATGTGTTTTTATTGATTTATTTTATTTATTGGTTTATTTATTTCTATTCTATGATTTTGTTTTTTATTTTTATTTTTTATTAAAACTAGTATTATTTTAGTAGTTTATTTTATCATCTTATTTATTGTTATTTTTATGTATTTGTGCAGCACTTTGGAAACTGTTTGTTTGTGAAATGTGCTATAGAAATAAAGTGGATTGGATTGGATTTTCTGATAGATTTAAGTGTTTATATTTTACATTTTGGCCAAGCTTTTGTTCAGTGTGTGTACCTGTGAGTGCGTATACATGCACATCAATAAAGTGAACAACATAAATAAAGTGAATAAAGTGCAACATAAATAAAATAAAGTACATAAATAAAGTGATCAACATAAATAAAGTGACAACATAAATAAAGTGATAAAGTGCAACATAAGTTAAGTGACCAACATAAATAAAGTGAACAACATAAATAAAGTGACCAACATAAATAAAGTGACCAACATTAAAGTGACCGACATAAATAAAATGACCGACATAAATAAAGTGACCGACATAAATAAAGTGACCGACATAAATAAAGTGACCATACATGTTTGAAATGACTGTAGAATAAATAGCTGCACTAAACTTGACCTGACCTGCACGTGTATGATCTCTGAAAAGCTAAAACATGAACTATCTCCTATACGACACACACACAGAACACACTCACCATCATCAGCACCTCTTCGGTCACAAAAAGAACACACATAACTGAGTTGTGTCCTTTCGTCCGAAAGAAGCTGAATCGCATCAGCGGCACAAGAAGCAAACTGTTTATGTCTATTATCCATGTGGTCTTAGGTTTTGTTTCTGTAAAACGTAAACAAATGTAATCCGAGCTGAATTATCTGATCAAGCGGGCTGATGTGTCTATAGTGGTTCTGGTTTATTTGTTGTAAAGTTGAGTTTATTTATGCAGAAGATTTTAATGAGGAATCTGTTGGGTTTGATCTGTGCAGTGGATTGTGGGATATCTCACAGCTCCTTACGCTGGTTAAACCTCCTGAGCTTCCGACGCTAAAGGAGCTCATGGTTGTTTGTATTTTTCCTGGTTTATTAATAAAATTTTTGCGCTTGTGCATTTGTACGATTATGTCAAGATACTACATTTGATCACGTCACAGGGATATGAGTGTCCTTTTTTCTCGCGCACGTAAACGCAGTATACTGACATAACCGGGATACTGATGTGCATATATACGCACTCACTGTGTCAGATGCCCTCCCAGCCTTTCCAACTAAAAGATTAGATTAGAAAACTTTATTTATCCCCAAGGGGCAATCCTACGGAAGCCGAGAGGGGTCACAACAAACGCAAACACCGCAACAAATACAAATGCGACAACACAACAAAAAACACAACAAACCAATAAAAGCCGCAACACATCAAAAAGCCACAACGGAAGTGGCCGCGGGACTCTATTTTCCAACGGACTGATCAAGTGGCAAGTGAAGAAGAAGAACTACAACGTGAAATGAATAATGATAAAACAATAAATTACTCTTACTAACGTTTCCAACTTCTCTGTTCCTTTACTTTTCAAGTTGTTCTTCTTCTTTACTTGGTCTGTCCGTTGGAAAATAGAGTCCCGCGGTCACTTGTGTTGTGGCTTTTCGATGTGTTGTGGCTTTTCGATGTGTTGTGGCTTTTTAATGTGTTGTGGCTTTTTAATGTGTTGTGGCTTTTTAATGTGTTGTGACTTTTTGATGTGTTGTGACTTTTTAATGTGTTGTGGCTTTTTGATGTGTTGTGGCTTTTTGATGTGTTGTGACTATTTAAGGTGTTGTGGCTTTTTGATGTGTTGTGGCTTTTTGATGTGTTGCAGCATTTGCATTTGTGTTATGGCGTTTGTATTTGTTGCGGCGTTTGCATTAAAATAGAGTCCCGCGGTCATTTCCGTTGTGGCTTTTTTTTGGTGTGTTGTGGCTTTTTGTTGTGTTGTTGCATTTGTATTTGTTGTGGCATTTGCGGTTGTTGTGACCCCTCTCGGCTTCCGTACAATTCTGTTTGCAGTCACAGACTACAGCACAAAACACACATTTCACACTAGGGGTGTAATGGTACAAAAATCACGATTCTGTTCATTTTCAGTACAAAACTGTTTGTTGCATTGCGCGATGACCGCACACATAATGTCCACACTGTGACCAGCCTGTCACCTTTGTTCATATTTGTATGTAATCTTCCATTGTAATGTTTGTCTTGTATCTTGTATGTTATTTAGTTCCTATTTTTTGTAATATAAGTAGTTTGCAAATAAAATTATAAAAAAAAAAAAAAAAAAACAAAAAAACAGAATATTCCACAGTATGACTTTATACACAGGACGAGTTAAAGTCTGGTGGCTCAAAACTTTCTGTAAAGGTCAGGTTAGCTCTTATGTACATTCACGTACAGTCCGTGGCATTTCATAGTAAGGTTGCGCTTTTATTTTGGTGACTTCCTGTGTGAGCGGAAGTGAAGTTAAAAACGTTAGCTTTGTATACAGAAAAGACGCAAAGTAAACAACAGCAACAAACACAACGGTGAAAAGTCAGATAAAAACCTAAAGACGGCAACAGTCGACAGGGGAACAAGGTTTGTTTCATTTGTGAAATTAATTAATTTGTGAAATGATGTTAGCAGGGTCACTTTACACAGCGTTGTCGTGAGCGTTAAAAACACAGTACACTTCGTATTCTCTTTTTGTGTGGTTACCGCATTCCCCACGGGCGCACACTTTTATTCACAGGTGCAGGCCATTCATAATTTTGTGCCTCACGTGATCAAATGTTCTTACACGCCATTGGTCAAATCATAAGTCTCTATCATAATACAAATAATAAAATGAGGGCACAACACAACAGAATGTATATTTGAGCTTCTTGTAATTTGTATTTAATTAATTAATGAATTAAATTATGGATAACGGTTAAACTGTGTAATGAGCAGCGATACGGTGATCTTATGGTCATTTCTGTCATTTTGTTCTTGTTTAGCTCTTACGTTGGTTCTATGACACTGCAAGGAAAAGATTAAAAGTCATTTAAGAATCAGTTCTGGCCTTCTCACTTCAACTGGATGCTACACTTTTTTTAATGATAAAAATAATCAAGTTTCAACATTTGTGGCAAAGTAATAAATGATCCACAGTTAAGAGTCACAACAGGTGAGTACATAGTTATAGTGACTCAAAACTATCCACAGAAGTACTTTTTCAGACTCAAACTTCACGTGATTGAGTATGTTTACTGTACTGTCTAATTCACGGACTGTGGCTCCATCTAGTGGCCAGTTTACAACCATACAACAGTGATACTGCTACGACAGCCTCACTGGGAGTTTGCATAAATACTGAATTAAAAACACGTCAGTGATGAAAATCATACTTGTTTTCTTATTTTATTGAACTCTTCGCGTTTCTCACGATGTTGTTTTGTGTAAGAATCCAAAGAGGTCAGAGCAGAGAGAGTAAATCCACGTCGTGTGCGGGAAAATGCGCCCCCCAGAGGTTGGACATGTAAACAATCCACAGAGGGGAGGGGCTGGTCACGTGACTGAGACGAAACTGAAAGTGTTTGGAGCTGAGGCTTCGTATGAGACGAGGTGAGTCGCACTTTTGGGTTTTAAGTCTATTATGTGTATTATTTACTATTTAAGAGAAAGTGACTTTGAGATTCACTGACATCCACTTATGTAGAAAAAACGGCTGTGCTCTTCAAAGAGAGAGAGTAACTAATAATCACTAGAACTGGGCCTAAAGTTTCCCCTGAAGTCGTGACCAGTGCGACTGTCACTTCAGTAGAAGTGTTGTTCAAATGACTAAAGTCTTGTTTGAAATGGAGCAGAGTTCAAATGTAAAGAGTGAAACATGTGTGTCTGTGGTTTCTCCTCCAGGCTGAGCGAGCGGGGAAATGGCTTCAGGGAGTGAGCAGATAAAAGGACGTCCCAGGAGAAAAGCAGCTCCAGGGGGCAGCACTGAGGCACAGTGAGTCCACTCATTTGTCTTTCACTGTTTAAAAAAGTGTGTGTGTGTGTGTGTGTGTGTGTGTGTGTGTGTGTGTGTGTGTGTGTGTGTGTGTGTGTGTGTGTGTGTGTGTGTGTGTGTGTGTGTATATAATTACAGTTTTTTTTTCACACAGTCAAGACACGCTGCTGCTGTTTTTCATCTTATTGATCCAGTCCAAAGGGCCATGTCACATGTGCCTTTGTCACACTGATCTAAACTGACAGGAACAAAGTCTTGTAAGTAACAACACACGATGTTTTCTGTCACACACAGATCCACAGCCTCAGTGTCCAGTGATGTGTCCATGAAGAGTGACTGGTCTAAAGATGACCCTCCAAACTTCAGTCGTGAACCTGCTGCTTCAGTTTCACTGTAAGAACAAATGTCACACTAAAGCTCATGTCATATAAAGACAGTACAGATGGTTTGACATGGAGTTTTTGGAGTTTAATAAATTTATTTATATTATATTAATATTTATAAATATGACAAAATATTACATTAATACATATTACTTCAATTAGGCTACAATTTTAAATAATGTAACATTTTAACAATATTTTCATCTTAAATATAACATGTTTTATACAGTTTTAGATGGCTAGATATTTGAAACAAATTTTGTATTTTATTATTTTATATTGAAATTGAATTAATTAATTAATAAATAGATTTTAATTACTAAATAATATTCACTTGTTTAAATTAACTTTGTTAAACTTTAATACATTTTACAGCAATTACAATAAAAAGGAAGATATTTAAACAACCAATTGTACATTAGATTAAATTATTCAATTTAATATCTTAACATTTTCAGAACTTTAATAAATAAATTATGAAAATAGTAATTTAATTTATTTACTCATGACTTAAATTTGCACATTGATCCAGTTAAATAAATTGTCCAGTTGCATTTATAATAAAACTAAGACTTTTCTTTGTGTTTCTCAAATGAAACAGAATATTCACTTCATTTAGGAATGAATCCAGATCATTTTGACACTATTGTGTCCTTAGGGTCTTAACACTATTTTCAGGAGTTTAACTTTACTTCCAAACTCATTTTACAGTTGTAGATTTACTCAGCGGTGACGTCTGTGTGTTCTCCCTTTGTGTTCCTGGGTTTGGTTTGTGGCCGATGCACCTGGGCCTAATAAAATGAGAGCAGCAGACGCTACCGACTTACCTG